GCCTCCTCCTCTACAGAGCTGCTCTCCAGCTACTCAGTCCCCGGTTCTGGTGCATGGGATTATTCCTCCCCAGGGGCAGCCCCCTGCACTTTCTTATTTTCTTGGAAATGGTCTCCAGGAGGAGCTGTTCCATCACCTTCCAGGGATGGCGTGAGACTGTCTGGCATGTAGTTGTCTGGCTCCCGCCCTTTTGCAGACTAGCATGACGCTGGCTTTCTTCCAGTCCTCAGGAACCTCTCCTGTTCTCTATGATGTTGCAAAGATGATGAAGAGTGGCTTTGCAATGACATTGGGCAACTCCTTGAGCTCTCCTGAGTGTACTGGCATCATGGACTTGCCTAAGGGATCCCTAACCCAATCCTCCTCCAGGAAGGGAGGGAAGGTAAGATGTTCCTTTCTCCAGACTTTTTCCCTCATCTCCAGGCCTGGGATTCCAGAGGGCCGGTCTCATCAGTAGAGGCTGAGGCAAAGGCTGCATTCAGTGACTCTGTCTTCCCTGTGTGCTGTTCCACCCAGGCACCCACCCCATTCAGCAGTTCACCCACACTTTCCCTAGGCTTCTTTTTGCTTCTGTTGCATTTGAAGAAGCCCTTCTGGTTGTCCTTGTCATGTCTTGCCAGATGAAACTTCAAAGACGCCCATCTCCGATGGGTCCCTATTCAAGCACCACTTTCTCCAAGCTCAGGATCGGTACATTCCTATAAGAAAGAAATCAAGCAAGGGGAGAAGGAGAGATTTGTGGTTCAGCAAGGAGCTGTTGGGTAAACTTAATGAGAAAAAAGAGCATACGTAATGTGGAAGAAGGGCCAGACCACACAGGAACAATATGGGAACATTGTCAGAGAATGCAGGGATGCAACAAAGAAGGCCAAGGTCCGTTTGGAATTAGAGTTAGCGAAAGATGTCAGGGACAACAGGAAGGGCTTCTATAAATACATCAGCAGCAAGAGAAAGAGCAAGGAAAATGCTAGTCCCCTGCTGAATGAGGAGGGTGCCTTGGTGGTGGAGGATGCAGAGAAGGCAGAGTTACTAAATGCCACCTTTGCTTCTGTCTTTGCTGCTAAGGACAGCTAAGTCCCCATGAAACACAGAGCCTGGACACAAGAGAGAGAACCAGCAGAGAGGAGGACTTTCCACTGGTCGAGGAGGATTGGAGTAGGGATTATTTAGGCAAACAGGGCACCCATAAATCTAAGGGCCCAGATGGGATGCACCCAAGAATGCTGAGGGAAATGGCGGGGGTCATTGCTCATCCGCTCTCCATCATGGAGAGGTCATGGAGAGGGGGAGGTGCTGGAGGACTGGAAGAAAGCCACCGTCACTCCAGTCTTCAAAAAGGACAAGAGGGAGGAGGCAAGAAACTACAGGACAGTCAGCCTCAGCTCCGTCCCTGGAAAGCTGATGGAGCAGCTCATCCTAGAGAGCATCCCTAGATATGTCAAGGGAAAGAAGGTGATCAGGAGTAGTCAGCATGGATTCACCAAGGGGAAGTCATGTTTGATGAACCCAATAGGCTTCTACGATAATGATTGGATGGATGGACAATGGGGCAGCCATTTATGTTGTCTAGCTTGACTTCAGCAAGGTTTTCAATGCTGTCTCCCATAACATCCTCATTGGGAAACTCTGTAAGTGTGGGTTACATGAGTGGACAGTGAATTAGATTGAAAACTGGCTGAATGGCAGAGCTCAGAGGGTCTTGATAAATGGGGCCAAGTCTGGTTGGAGGCCTGTGGCCAGTGGTGTCCCGCAAGGGTCAGTACTGGGCCCAGTGCAGTTCAACCTGTTCATCGATGACTTGGACGAGGACCCAGATTGCACCCTGAGCAAGTTTGCAGATGACATCAACATGGCCAACATTCCAGAGGGTTGTGCTGCCATTCAGAGGGACCTAGACAGGTTGGAGAGCTGGACAGTGAGGAAGCTCATGAGGTTCAAGAAGGACAAGTGCAGGGTCCTGCACCTGGGGCAGAATAACCCCAGGCACCAGCACAGATTAGTGGTTGACCTGCTGGAAAGCAGTTCCACAGAGAGCGATTTGGGAGTCCTGGGTGACACCAAGTTTCCCATGAGTTAGCAATGTCCCCTCGTGGCCAAGAAGGCCAATGAGATCCTGGTCTGCATCAGGAGGAGCATTGCCAGCAGGGCCAGGGAGGGGATCCTGCCCCTCTGCTCAGCCCTGGGGAGGCACCTGGAGCCCTGGGGGCAGCTCTGGGCTCCCCAGGACAAGAGGGACGTGGAGCTGCTAGAGAGGGGCCAGCGCAGGGCCACGAAGGTGATGGAGGGACTGGAGCAGC